ATAGTCTTTTAAGTGTGGTAAATCATGAAAAAGGATATAGAATTGAGGTGTCAAATTTGCTTGATGAGACTTGAGGGAATGCAATTTCTTAGAAGATAGTTAATTATCACAAGTTTACCAACGGATTGATGCCTTAATCAACTTAGAAAAAAATGATATACTCCTAACAGACTTTTGAATTGCACCGAGATTTCTAGCCCAATTCAAGCATTAAGATGTCAATACATAGTTGAAATTACTTTAACATCCAGACAAAGGAGTCATACATACTGAGATTACTTAAACATCCAGACAAGGAAAACCAAAGAGGTTCCTGAGACCTTCTTCTACTCGGCAGACTCCACAGTCATGTTGGCACAAGGAGGAGCTGGGGCAGTAGAGCCAAACCAACCTTGACTGCAGTCTGCAGGGATAGTGAATAGTCTAGGGTCCGGTAAAGCCCTAACTGATACCTTCCATCCTCCCGCATCGCTTCCATCAAGTGCCAACGCTCTCTCTACTCCCTCTTCTCTGGCAAAGAACACCAAAGCCGTCTTTTTCAGAGTATTGGCATTGGGTCCACAGCCTTGTGTCAGAGCCAAGTGTGTGATCTCTCCACAGTAACAGAAATGTCTAATCAATGAGTCCTCCACAACATCCTTAGGAAGCGAAATGTCATATCCCCCAACTGATATACCAATACGAACGGTTTTGCGAGCGTAACAGGCTCTTAGAGAANCCACTATCCTACGATCAAGCCTAGGAACTTCATTCGGTAACAGTTTAATAACTACCTTCCATCCTTTGAACTCACTTCCATTAAGTGCCAACGCGCGCTCTTCTGCGCCTTCTCCCATAAGATGGAGGAGAGCACATCTGTATAAAACAAAATTTATAAACTTGAGAGAAACAAAATCATAAAATTTGTTGTGCCACAAACAAACCTGTTGAGAAGATTGGTTTCAGGGTCTTCGTTAACCTCAAGATGACGGACATATCCACATGGATGGAAAAGTTGATACAATGCAACCATGATATCAGCCTTAGGAAGCNAAGTGTCGAATCCCTCAACGGTAATAATAGAGCAACTGCAATAATACGATTATCAATATATACAAGAACACATCTTATTCTTACACAAAAATCTCAAAACAAAAAAGCTTACCGGCTTTCGATGTCCTGTGAAAAGATTTTGTAAGCAGCCGCACGAATCTCATTACTGTCCAATTCCAGAGATCTTCTGCTAATGAACTCTTCCTTGCTCATGTTCTTGTCCCTTGGCGTCTTGATCAGAGGCAATAACACATCCATTGAGAAGAGCCAAATAACCCTAGGCTTGAGATATTTTTTAGTTTTAGGGATTTAGAATGCTACTTTTTTTTATGTTTGCCAGAGAGGAAGAAAACTATTTATATGGGTTTTAACATTTGGGCCCTGGGCCATTGTTTCTTTTTTTTTCTCTTAAATTATCTGATCCATATTTGTTTATTGAACCGTTTACTTTTAGAGAATCTAAGAAAACTCAAAACAAGGGAAATTAGAATAAATGACACAAAAAAATTCAATAATTAATCGAGTAACCATATATAAAAAGAAGTGGTTAATTAGTAGAAAAACAAAAATTGAATTTTGTAAGAGATCAGATTGCGTGAGTGATTGGTTCGGCTTTAGCCGTTGATTAATTGTTATAGAATTTTTGCTGTAAGTGTTTTGGCTATAGTTGTACATTCTTTTTGCTGTAGATTTTTTTGCTGCAGACTTTTTTGTTGTACAAATATAAGTTGTAACTGTAACTATTTTAAAATAAAAACATGATTGGTAAACCTAAGATATGTGCTATAGTTTTAATTAAATCGACTAATTTTGTGAAAATAAAATGTTTTGTACTAATTATACAAATAATCAAGTTTATAGAAACTTTATGTAATTTTCAATGCAATAAAAATGAACCTCTAAATTATTTTAAAATGGACAGTTAAAAAAATTAAATATTATTTTAAAATTAAATAGTTTCGGTAAATGTATTTAAAATATAAAATACTTTAGTGATTGATAGAATAATTCATTATACTTTTGATTTTATTTTTTCCATAGATTCGTCACAATCTTGTTTTAAAATCCTTCCATATATATATTTTTTTTCTCAAAACTTTGTTTTTATGAAGTTTTAACTAAATAATCATAATAAAAATTTGTACAGCCCAACTGATATGCCAAAACCACGGTCTTTACGAGCGTATGCTTCTCTTAGAGAAGCCACTATCTTACGATCAATCCTAGGAACTTCAATCGGTAACAATTTAATAACTACTACTTTCCATCCTTTGAACTCACTTCCATTAAGTGCCAACGTGCGCTCTCCTACGCCTGGTGCCATAAGGTGCAGGAGAGCACAACTGTTGAGTAGATTGGTTTAAGGATCTTTGTTAATCTTAAGATGGCGGCCATATCCACATGGATGGAAAAGTTCATACAATGCGCACATGATATCAGGCAAAGGAAGCCAAGTTCATGCAACTGTTGAGTAAAAAGTTCATACAACTGTTGAGTAGAAGGTGTCTGATTTTAATTAGGAAAAAGGAAAATTTCCTTATTATTATTGAAAAAGTAAAAAGAAAGAAATCTAAAATTTACTTTATTTAAAACTATATTTTTTTTTACCACCGTAGGATTAGAGTCTCTTCTTCTATTTACTACCGTACGATTTGGATATTGCTTAGAATACACGTGGTTACACAGTACAACCAGAAAAAAAAAAAATGACATTTTTTCTACAAAACCTCCATTGAAGCATCTTTCTTCGTTTATGAGTCTAATTCCAATGACGACGACGAAGCTATCAAGCTGTTTCTTGACACATGGATTAGCAGGAATCTTCTGTGAGAGAGACCATGGAGGTTCTCGTAGATTTTTCTATCTCCTGCCTTCGCGTCGATTACTTCCTGCTTCTTGTAAAATTCGACAACAACGTGGTTTCGAGTGAGTGTTTCATTAAATTCTTTCTGGGTTTTAGAGTTTATGTGCGAATTCGACAACTTTTCTCACGAATTTGGCATATTTTTTGGAATGTATAATATAATGATTCTCTTCTTAGATACTTTGCGTGATGTGCTTTGTCTCGCCTTTATGAACTTGTTTTCTGGTTTATAGTTTTGAGATTTTTGGATTCTTGTTTTGCATTTTGAAAGCTTAGATTTTTGGTTAATGTTGATAGATGTGAATTTGAGAACGAATAATGTTTGATTTTAGTTAGAAATTGGATCAAAATTGTTGCATTTGATTTTGTGACATGACTCCAAATTTCTTGATCTGGATGCTGTATAGCCTCTATGCTGCTTAAGTTTGTAATTTGTACACATGATGCTCAAACGAATGTCCGCAGCTCAAGTAAACGACAGGAAATCAAGAAAGGGGCCTCTCCTGAACCGATCCTCTCGATAAATTCTGGTCTTCATCGAAGCAGCGATGAGGAATCAGAACCGGAAAATGGTTCTGCAGACAGTGTTCCGAGCCTCAAGTCAGACGCAGAAAAGGGAAACAGTATTCATTCGACCGTAGAAGATAACCATGCTAATGAGAAAACTGAAACGAGTGACGATATACAAAGAACTGAAGTAACTCGGTACAGAAATAAACCTGCAAAGAAGAAGGAGGAAAATGTACACGCCACTATTGATATTGAGCATGATGATGGACAGAACTTAAATACGTTAACTGTGCCTGAGGTTGCAAAAGCTTTGGTATGGATTCTGTTTTAGTTTTTGATGGTATATCTTGAGTTCTCCAATTCTTAGGATGCCTTCTTATATAAACTTTTGTGATCATTTTTCAGTCCATTAACACAAGTGGAGGGGAGCAATTTTCAGATGGACAGTATGGGGAACTAATGACAATGATAAGAAATGCAGAGAAAAGTGAGTTTTTTTCTTTTTCATTATGATTGTTTTTTTCTTATCATTTATTAATTCCTGATGACTTCTGTGCTAGATATTCTTCGGCTTGACCAAGCACGGTCCACTGCTCTTGATGAGCTCAACAAGATTCTAAGTGAAAAAGAAGCACTGCAGGGAGAAATCAATGTTTTGGAAATGAAATTGGCTGATACTGATGATAGGATCAAAACTTCTGCTCAAGAGAAAGAACGTGTAGGGGTTCTGGAAGAAGAGTTAGAGAAGCTTCGTCATGAAATGATTTCCCCGCTAGAAAGTGATGGTTATATTCTAGCTCTTAGCAAAGAACTTGAAACATTGAAGATAGAGAATCTGTCTTTGAGGAAAGATATAGAAATGCTTAAGACAGAACTTCACAGTGTTAAGGATACTGATGAACGTGTAGTTGTGTTGGAAAAAGAATGCTCAGGTTTGGAATCTTCTGTTAAGGATTTAGAGTCTAAGTTATCGGTTTCCCAGGAAGATGTCTCGAAGCTTTCGTCTCTTAAAACCGAATGCACTGATCTATGGACGAAGGTAGAGAGTCTACAGCTGTTGTTAGATAGAGCTACCAAACAAGCAGAGCAAGCGGTTTTAGTGTTACAACAGAATCAAGATCTCAGAAATAAGGTTGAGAAAATCGAGGAAGCGCTTAAAGAGGCCAATGTTTATAAAGAATCATCAGAAAAAATCCAACAGTACAATGAACTGATGCAACATAAGGTGAAATTACTTGAGGAGCGGCTCGAAAAGTCTGATGCAGAGATATTCGCGTATGTTCAGTTATATCAAGAATCAATAAAAGAATTCCAGGAAACACTTGAAAGTTTGAAGGAAGAAACCAAGAGAAAAGCAAGAGATGAACCTGTCGATGATATGCCTTGGGATTATTGGAGTCGTTTACTTCTAACTGTTGATGGATGGCTGCTTGAAAAGAAAATAGCAAGCGATGATGCAGACTCTCTAAGAGAAATGGTTTGGAAAAAAGATAGAAGAATTCACGATACATATATTGATGTCAAAGACAAGACTGAAGGCGATGCTATCTCTGCATTTCTCAAGCTTGTGGCGTCGCCAACAAGGTAATCAATGCCTTTGAAAATGCTTTCTCTTTCCCCGTTTCAGTTATTTTTTGAAAAAATAACCTATTTTCTTCATTTGGTGCTGATTCTAGTTCAGGATTGTATGTCGTTCACATTGCAGCTGAGATGGCACCTGTAGCTAAGGTGTGTTCAGATAAACATACCCCAAAGAACTTCTCTTGCTTTCATGTTGCTTTTCAACTTTGTCATTCCCATTCTTAGTTTCCTTATGTAAATTCTGTAGGTGGGCGGTTTGGGGGATGTTGTGGCAGGTCTTGGTAAGGCATTGCAAAGAAGAGGTCATTTGGTGGAGATTATCCTTCCCAAATATGACTGTATGCAGTATGATCGTGTGCGCGACTTAAGGGTAATGTTGTTGCAATTCGATGAATCTATATATAATAAGATGACATAAAAACATTTCATGTTTTTTTTAAATGATGGTTTGATTTATTCACCACAGGCTTTGGATACTGTTGTGGAGTCATATTTTGACGGAAAGTTATATAAAAACAAAATCTGGGTTGGAACTGTTGAAGGTGAGAAGACTTTGATTTTTTTCGTGGTTGTGTGTTTTTGGTTGAATCAAAGTCTTTATCTCTATTTCCAGGCTTGCCTGTACATTTCATCGAACCTCAACATCCGAGCAAATTCTTCTGGAGAGGGATGTTTTATGGAGAGCAAGATGATTTCAAACGCTTTTCGTATTTTAGCCGTGCTGCATTAGAGTTGCTTCTTCAGTCCGGCAAAAAACCCGACATCATACATTGTCATGACTGGCAAACAGCTTTTGTTGTACGGTTTTATCTTACTTTTGAAACAGTGGCATAGTCTTTTTGTTTAGGATACCTTTTGAAGCTCTTTTTTTTTCCATTTCAGGCGCCGCTTTATTGGGATCTGTATGCTCCAAAGGGGTTAGATTCTGCAAGAATATGCTTTACATGTCACAATTTCGAGTATCAAGGTACCTCATCTGCTTCAGAATTGGGATCTTGCGGTCTCGATGTTAGCCAGTTAAACAGACCAGACAGAATGCAGGATCACTCATCTGGAGATAGAGTCAATCCTGTTAAGGTAAATGATTACAAAACCAACATAAACCGAGAGAGAAATTCGACTTTGTCCTCGTATTCATCTCTCTTTCTCCTTATGGTCCAGGGTGCTATAATCTTCTCAAATATTGTAACAACTGTGTCTCCTACTTATGCACAAGAAGTTCGAACACCCGAGGTAGAAGAATTTACGTTGGTATTTTATTTGATGTTAATTAACTAAAGCTTTCATACTGATCGGTCTAATGTATTTACAGGGAGGGAAAGGACTTCACTCGACGCTCAATTTTCACTCCAAGAAATTCATTGGAATCCTTAATGGCATTGACACGGATTCATGGAATCCCGCCACCGACCCTTTCCTCAAGGCTCAGTTCAACGCTAAAGATTTACAAGGGAAAGAAGAAAACAAATACGCCCTTAGAAAGCAGCTTGGACTTTCTTCTGCCAAGCCGAGACGGCCTCTGGTAACTTATTGTTTCCCTGAACGGTGAGAGACTCTAGAGCATACTGATTCAGGTAACTCATATATTTATTTCGTATAGGTTGGTTGCATAACAAGGTTAGTACCACAAAAGGGAGTTCATCTAATCAGGCATGCGATATACCGAACATTAGAGTTAGGTGGACAGTTTGTTCTTCTCGGTTCTAGCCCAGTTCCGCATATTCAGGTAATAACCCGTCTGGTCAGCAAGATGCTCTCTACCTCCTCCCTCTTCTTGAGCTTTGATGCATTTTGGTTTTCTTTTTCTAGAGGGAATTTGAAGGTATAGAACAACAGTTTAAGAGCCATGACCATGTCCGGTTGTTACTGAAGTACGATGAAGCTCTGTCTCATTCGATTTACGCAGCATCCGATATGTTCATCATTCCTTCAATTTTCGAGCCTTGTGGACTTACACAGGTTACAATATAAATCATGATCTCTAGAAGATACCAAACATCAATGTGACTAAAATATTGGCTAATCTCTGTTCTCGGATTCTTTCTCTTGCACAGATGATCTCTATGAGATATGGATCCATTCCAATCGCCCGAAAAACTGGAGGCTTAAACGACAGGTAAAACCAAAACTTAAGACCTTTTNTTTATCTTCAGACGACATTGGTCTCAAAGATAATTTCTTTTTCTCTTCAATCCTTTTCCAGTGTCTTCGACATCGATGATGATACAATACCAACCCAGTTTCAAAACGGATTTACATTTCAATCCGCGGACGAACAGGTAATCTAGCAATTATCTCTTCTTTATCAATCTCTTTGCTCATCATAGCTGAAAACAGGGGTGGGAAGTTGAAATTTCGGATGAGTTTGGTTCGGTTTATAGATGTCTGATTTTAGCTGAGAAAACATTGAAAAAACAGGGTCTAAATTACGCGCTGGAGCGAGCATTTGATCATTACAAGAAAGATGAAGAGAAATGGAAGAGACTTGTGGAGAAAGTGATGAGTATAGATTTCAGTTGGGGATCATCAGCTACACAGTACGAAGAGCTCTACACGAGATCAGTGGCTAGAGCAAGAGCTTCTGCTAACCGCACGTGAGTTTCACATGCAGATTCTTTCTTGTAACACACGTATTTTTGTAATTAAATATATGATTTTTACTTGTTCATAATAGAAAAAACATTTGGGAGTTTCAATCACAATCAACAAAATTAAATATGAATTTTCACAAAGAAACCAACAAGAAGGTCCGAAGATTTTGACAAGTTTCTTATTGGCTTTGGTTTAGGAGGAATATGAAATATCTTGTTTCTTTTACAAATTATCTTGAACAAGTTGAAAGATTTCTTCTCTTGAGTCTTCTTGACTAGCTTGATGTTAAGAAACTAGATGTCTCTTGACTCTCTTCAACACTTTCCCAATTCATTACTAATGGTAAATCTAAGAGAGGCTTAGGTGGAATCTGCAAAGCTTTTACACTTCCTTCTAACATTTCAACAACTTTTCTCATTGGTGGACGATCAAATGGATTGGTTTGTATACACCACAAACCAACTAATG